AGATGAAAAAAAGGCCAGAAACGTTCAGACAATGAAAGATATAGTTATTAAATTTAACACTATACTCTCATGATACACTTTCCATCCTAATAGCACGGCCTTCCTTATTCTGACTTCGACTTTCTATCGATCATTTGAACATACTCCACATTGTTAAACATTATAACTCATTGTTCTGTGTTACTGCATTATCTCATCTGGAGATTGCAATCACATTTCAATCTAGCAACAAGAGGTAGTGTGCGTTTAATCCACTGATTTTTCGTACCTCTTTCCTCTCCCACTACTTACCACGGCCAGAATTCTAGCACGATTATGCCGAGCCCGAATCTGGTGTATAAAGCGGGCATCATACCACTCAGAAAAATATTTTAAAAGCTGCACTCAGTGTAATACTGAAGCATAAACCTAATCATTAATTCTCTAAGACATCTGCACGAATGTACTGTCATTTACTTTTATTGATACAATCTATTTAACAATCCTACATGGGAAGCGTGCTGTAAGCAAAATAATGCCGTAATTTGTGGATCATCCCTGGAAAAGTGGCATGTTCCTGCCCTGACAGAAGTATATTATTATGAATAAATTACCTTCATATTTTACGTTTAAATCATTCATTTTTCCCTTTATTTTTTCATTTTCTTTCTTCAAAGTCAAATCATTTTTCTCCCCGACTGTACTTAACCTGTTTACGCATGACAAACATTATGACAACATTATTAAGAATAGTGTATTACTGTATCTCCGAAGAAACCCGAAATGGTTTCTTCATAATACTTATGTACCAATAAGACGTTTGTAAATAATAATAATAATATTAATGTTCAGATATGCGAAGTTTATGTGATAGTAGAGCAGACCACATCATACCAGAGAATGGAAAATAGCAAGTGTATAAGATCAAGTCAAAAGTAACTGTGCATGAGAGTCTGTACCTACTAAATTGAGAACAATCTGAGGATAGCAAACCTTATAACAGCAGTCAATAGGCTAAATGAAAGAAATATGAATATGTACACATAGTCTGGTTACTTATAACTATCCAATAAGAATACAAGTAATAACAGTTAATAAATAATTCCTAGTAGTTACCATTCGTTGATTCTTCTCTAGGATGTAACTGGTACACGAGGGCTTTTAGTAATGAAATCAGTCAGCTCAAAATATACTGTATAGTAAATAAGACAAATCAATTTCTAAATTTTGTCGCATCCCCTTCATCTCATACATACTCGAGTGAAGTGGACATGTTGCTCATTGCCTGTAAGTTTGCACTAGTATTTGACAATCCACTTGCTTTTACAGCATTTGTTAAAGTTATCAGTGCTTGTTTGTTTGTACATCCGACGGAAGCACAGAACCATCTCCATCTTGACAGAGCGAAATAGCCTTGGAGTGTATAATCTTTTGGTGCTAATTTTCTGCACACTTCTATCTGTGATTTTGGCAAACATGCAGCAGTAGATGGTTTGGGATTTACGTCATCAGTAATAAGTCCTTGTCGGAAAACATGCTCCCAGCGGTCTCCGAATTCCGTCGCGAGCTGAAGCAGATGATGGTCACTTAGTGGGTATATTTGCTGACTTATTTGTGTCATCAATATATCTTAGATACTGTTATGTGTGATTTAACCAAATATTATCAAAGCAGTGAAGAGTCATTTGTTTGACCTTGACCTGAAGAAGTTCAAAAACAACCTTGAACTTCGTTGCCCGAGTAACGGCGCAACTATGCTGCCAACAAGGTCACTGTTATCAATTTATTTAGGTCACAAACATAACAAACCGTTCAAAAATTGATACAACATATTTTCAGCTAAAGAATTCTCCACTAATAGATATGTTTTTATTGGCAGCGTTTCTAATGCAGCACCATGTCAAATACATTGTCAGAAGAATGAAAACTGATTTAAGCTTCAGAGATGACAGGTTTTCGCTGTTAAGAGCACAATACACATCTTACTATAAAGGGTGATCCAGGGGACACTTTCAATTTGTATTATTTACTATATTTGTTGGAATATCGATGGAGTGGCACAAAGGTATTGAGAGTAAGAGATTCACCTGATGCTGCCCTTGAAGATTCGTGATCAGTTTTCATATGATATCGAAACAATAACTATAAAGTCCTGATGGATTTTACGCATGAATTTATTCGGCCAATGTTTTTCATAATTTATTCAAAGTTGAAAAATGGACCTGTAGTGGCTGTGAAATAACAATGAACAATCATAACAAGTCATCCATGGGGCTTAAGTATTTCTACGTTGGGTGACATGACACGAAGTTGAATGTTTGTTGAAAATTAGTGAGTATCAATAAAAGTTCGTGAGGAGACATCATCAATTCTGTATTGCTTGATCGCGCTGAATTAATTACTCCAAACAAGCATCCTTAATCGTGTGTTATATGTATAGCCCTGTTAGCAAGACCGTATTTATCCTTCAGAAGTTCTTATAGAGATTCAATCATTGTGTTTATAAAGCTCGTAACATAAATAAGGTAATTAATACTAATGAAAGATCTAAATACCATCAATCTTCTAAGGGAAGATGAATTTATCCGAAAGGTTTGTATGACTGTTTTCAGTCACTACAACCTCACATTGGTCGATAGCGTTGGAGAATTCAATGAAAACATTTTATTCAACCGTGAAATTTATTATATAAAAGGCTTCAAAGCAGAGCCTAACAATAATACTAAGAACGAATTTCTGAGCCTTTAAACCAGAGCTATTAGGAGTTCTTTACGAACAAACTATTAATGAAATTTTTTAACGGCCTCAGAGCACAGCTAATGCTGGTTGCTGTGTTTGTGAATAACGTTGTTTAGAAACAGTACATTTGCGTGGCACACTAACAACTAGTCTACCTTTCTGCCTCAAAAATGCACTGATAAACACAGGTGTTATATCAGCAACAAGTATAGAATGTACACTAAAAATGTCCGAAGAAGACAACTATTTTGAGGAAACTTCAGTAGACTTCGTAAGCACTACTCTTGTTCCTCGCCCCATTTATATGAAATCAATGTCGAGATTTGAAATAAACGATCAGCGTGAGAATCACTCACTAGAGCTAGTTGCTTTATATTTGGTTTAAAACCGTTATCGTCAACTAGATATCCATGGCATCCCAAACTCTATACACAAAATGAATACTTATTTGGATTCACCGTGACGTTCTACTTCATTATGTGATGCGATAAAGTAGCAGATCACTGATCATGATATACCTTATTAGAACTATGGATAAGGAGATGGTCTTGACGAACTTCATTATTTTTAAGATCACTGACAAAATTATTCTTCACTTCCTGAAATATGACTAGAGAACAGCTTGGACCAAATGAAAGGAAATTGTATTTAAAAAGGCCAAAAGAAGTGTTGGTTCTCGTGAAAGTAGATGAAGATTGATCCGAAGGGATTTAAATATAGGCATCTTTTAAGTCAACTTTCCAGAGCACCTTAGAACCATGAAGTCAATTAAGGATATCTTCAGCTTCTACGTTCGTACACGTGTAGTGGATGTCGAGTCGAAGACGGACTATGATCACCACTACAATTCGTTTACGCGCCCAAAAACGACTTGGTTCCTTTGTAAATCAGAAGGCTTTATTAGTCCAGATCAATTGTATTTATTGGCGATCTCGTGGTATCGAAATAATACCGAGACGTGCCAAAGAGTACAGGCGAACAGGCAGTGCGTGAGCAAGTTCGAACCAAACAAGGTGGAGAGCGAAAGCAGAAGTGAAACTGATACAGTTAAACAAATAAAGTAAAACAATCTCTGGTACAATTGGTTACAATAATAATAATTGTTTCCGTTATTCCAATCGTGTTCTTATCGAGACTGGCAGGTCACTACAGGAGCCCCCCGCTAGAAAGGGTTTACACTTTCGATACGTAGCGGTCTCATTCGTGGGACTGATCGCGAAACGTGCAATTGTAGGACGAAGGCGTTGGCAGAACAGGAAGTGATCGTTGATCCTCGAGTTGCCACCAAAAGTCTTTGACATAGAACGGTACCAGAAGGGATGTACTGTATTGATTGCTTGGATTAGCATGCTACACCAGAGTGGTTTGTATCCAGAATCTGAAGGTTGCGTTCATAGAGGTCCGGACCAGAAACGCTGCAGACGTAGGACGAAACCAGATTGAGCCAAGGAACCAGATGCGACCAGGATAACCATGTTCGGGACCAAATGTATACCATACGTATTTGGAACCAGAGAGGTCGACTGAGTGCGTTGACTAGAGCGTGGGTGATCAGGCCAGCTTTCGCCAAAGTTGACTGAAGTCGACGATACCGTAACAGCGATGGTCGAAGGCGTAGGCTCGGAGTAAACACAAAAAAAATGATAGAAAAAGAGAAAAGTGTAGCTTTCTTGTAGTATAGGGGTAGATTCCTATACTGTATCCGTAATTGGTTATGAGGTTAGTCGAGAAAGCGTACGGGTAAGCGTACTCGGTGACCAGAACGTGAGACGGTAGTCTCGTTCGAACCTCGTGAGCCTGCAATCTCATCCGCAGTCAAGGGCGGTGTGGTCTGTAGGTCTGGACGTGAGACGGAAGTCTCGTCCGTAGACGGGGCAGATGACAAGTGCTGTTGACTGGGACGTGAGAATGAGGTCTCAGGTGCATCTAGCGTGGGATCCGAAGTAGATGTAGAGATCCCGCTAGAAGCTTTGGTGGGTTTAGCATTGGGTCTCGGCTTATCAGGTAGGGCACTGTCATCGACGTGTGCTGGCATGAGACGATCAATGCTGACTACTTTGACACGGCCATGTCGATCAACCTTGAAGGTCTTTTCGTGAAGGGAAATCACGTGAAAAGGGCCTTCGTAAGGCTGTTTGCTCAGATTGACCGTAAGTTGTCGTGTACCATAGTTAGGAATGACTGAGTCATCCGCAGCGCGTAGTCGAAGCATCGTAGCTTGAGACTTACTGTTACTGATAGGTACGACAGAAACTTGGGCACCCGTATCCACAAGGTACCTAGCGTTAGTGCGATAATCGTGCACGTATAATAGACGGTCAAACGGAGGTGAAGGGCCGGTGAGTACGGCCGTATTTACTCACCGGCTCGGGAAGTTCCCGCCTTGTATGAGCAGGGAGCTCGACAATGATGGGCACCGGCCCCGAAGGCACGGTGGAACCAGCACCAACCTGGACTCGCTTCCGAAACCGCCTTCCGGCGTGGCTTGGAAGATGCCCGCTTGGGGCGAGTCGTTACGGCTGTTCGAGATCGTGACCTGGGTCGGGGGACGTAGGGGGCTGGCACATTTGCGCGGTCTCGGAAACTGAGACGAGTATGGATACATCTGTCCCTATCCCCATGAGCCGGAGGTCGTCTAGCATCGAGATCAATGTTAGAACGGGAAGTAGAGGCAACAATATAGTTGTCTTCGGCGCTAACACGTGCTAGAATCTTGTCTGCTATGAGGGCCACCTTGTGCAGTGGGGTGTCCTCGAGCAGGGCCGTAAGGGTTGGCTGGATACTGACTGGTAAGGCTTCGAGCCACAACTCTTTGACTATCTCAGAGTCTGCTGTCGAGTTTCCTGCAAGGGACTGCAGGCGCGTGAGGTGGTGGCTCGGCTTAGCATCACCAATAGGGTGACGTGCTAAGAGAGTCCTCAATCGTTCCTCTCTTGATGGGAGGAAATGTCGAAGGATAGCATCCTTAAGAAGGTCGTAGACGTTCGGAACGTTCGGATTGAGGACAACCTCACGGACAGCGGTTAAGTGATCCCCGGGCAATGATTCCAAAGCGTAGGCGTACTTTTGCCTTTGGTTGGTTATGCGGCGGATCTCAAATTGAGATTCCAGTGCCGCGAACCAGACTTCTGGATCATGAGGGATGAAAGGAACCGGTCGAAAGTTGATAACCTGTACCTCTGAGTCTATTATATTTATACTACTCTTATCGTTATCCACCATGGTAAGTTGCCAAGATATTATATATTGAAAATATCAATACGAATATATGCAACAGAAGTGGATAGATAAATAGACTCACCGGATTGTTCTGGCTTGGAGAATTGGCCAAGTTTGACTTGTGCTCGATGGATTGGGTTACCAGCTGTATTGCGTGTTCCAACAACGGCTCACCAGTTTGTAGTGGATGTCGAGTCGAAGACGGACTATGATCACCACTACAATTCGTTTACGCGCCCAAAAACGACTTGGTTCCTTTGTAAATCAGAAGGCTTTATTAGTCCAGATCAATTGTATTTATTGGCGATCTCGTGGTATCGAAATAATACCGAGACGTGCCAAAGAGTACAGGCGAACAGGCAGTGCGTGAGCAAGTTCGAACCAAACAAGGTGGAGAGCGAAAGCAGAAGTGAAACTGATACAGTTAAACAAATAAAGTAAAACAATCTCTGGTACAATTGGTTACAATAATAATAATTGTTTCCGTTATTCCAATCGTGTTCTTATCGAGACTGGCAGGTCACTACACACGTTTGCTTGAACAAATAACTATTCAGTGTTAATCTATGTCCACCAAATTTTCTAAGAGTCTTGCCGTTGGACTCCAATGGCGTAACAATAGGGGTACCCCATGCTAAAAACCGAATCGGTCCAATTATATCTTTCTCACACAAATCGTTCGGTGTGTTCTGTATGGCTTGTCAGTCATAGGGAATTATTCGTCTTTTAAAAAAGTTTCGATCACCCTGTACTTGGAGTTTTGTAGGCTGAGTCTTCATTTCTACACTGCACTTAGCACACTCAGCTATCATATCAAGCGTCAGAATCTGCTTTGCAAATCAATGACGGCAACTCCACTTCAAGCCCCCTCAATTTTTTCAAACCCTGTATTGGCAGTCCTATTTCACCACAAGATATTTATTATGAATTATCAACTATAGTTGGCAATTCACAGCACCCTCATATGGGCAGCTTGTGTCCAGTAATCCTCATTACTGAGACTTCAGTAGATCGTACTAAAACACTATGTTCTAAAGATTTTCACGCTCTTTAATGAAACAATAGTTTCCATACTTCATGTGCCAACAATAAATTAATAGAATGAAACAAGGGAGGTATATAATTGCTTGTGAATAAAGACATTACTTTCGAAATCGTGGATAAAGACAGATGGTCATTAGAAACATTAAACTTAATAAAATTAGAACTACAGGGTTTATCATCATTAATGACAAAACGAGAAATAGCTCTACAGACCGACTTGATGTGTCTCACTTTACCACATTTGGGATAATGATAGACACGTGAATTACGCAAGTGAAATTTACCACAGGGTAGACATTTACTTCCGTAGTGTCGAGCCACCTAGACTGGTGGCCACATTGCAACTTGATCGATAGCATTCGATCAGCACTAAGGACTTGACACGCATGAGATTGATCACCACCCAGTGATCAATCAATTGTGACTTCCATAGCCTACTTTACAATTCCTTTTTGAATCACTTTCCATGTTTCCACGAGAACAGGAGCTATTAATAAACAAATGCGAGCTTGAGAGACATTGAGAGTGTAGTTCATCCAGACGATTAAGTCATAAATATTTTCACTGACTGAAAATCAAGCTCATTCACTGTATCATAGTTAGTACATGTTGCTTTAGTTTCTTTCAATGAAGTTTTAGGCGTATGAGCTAATTATTTTTCCAAATCCGGAATATTTAAACCAGCAATCAGTCGATCACAAAGTCAAATTTCAAGTAGGTACCCAAAATTGCACTTCGCGGCCCGTTTTTGCAGTCCAAGTATGAAGTCGTCAACTTTCTGATCATTCTGTTGCATCATTTCATGAAACTTTGATCTCTCTCTGCATTCCAGGCCAGGATACTACACATGACTAGGTTGTAATTCCTTTGAGAGATTCATATGACAGTGAAAAACCATGTTCTTTAGCAAATTATAAGCTTCTTTACCGATGAACGTCAGAAAGTGAGCTGTGAATTTGTCATCTACGATGTCTTTTCTAGCCATGCATCAGATTTCAAACCGCCTTATTTAGTTTTCGAAGTTGTACGCACTTGAATTAATATCCGACTTGGCTTCATCGCAACGTTAATACGATTAAAGGTATTCAAGTTGATATACTAACTGGGAATTCCTGAAATATTGCAATCTACAGCAAGTAGAACTACACAAGCACAAATGAACGTATTATATTTGGAATTCATAATCAGTACAAAGGAATCACAAATCGCACAAATAATACAAATTCGCAATAAGCGTGTGATCAGGCAAAAAAGCCATCAGTTAGTATAAATACCATACATTCTGCTTGAAATAGGAGAAGCTGATTGGTCAGAAACTGGACGAAAAAGACTAGTCTGTGAAAGCGATTTTATATTCTGACCATGAGGAAGAAAGTACCCCATACACAAGTTGAGGTCATGGTGTCCAAAGCGCAAAATAGGTTAATTGAATGAGAGACCGGTAGAATTATCATCAGATTTTTATAAACCTTGGAGAACTTTCAAAGTCTCGCTAAAAAGATAAGGGGATTTATAAGTAGACATCTACGCAAGATACTGTATACTGACCAATGACCATCTATGATAATTTAGTCTGTCTGAGAACAAACCAGACTTTAGTTGAGAAAGGAATCAAGAAAGGTGATGTGGGTGGGCAGGACACATTTCACTGGATTTAGTATATTGAATCCCAAAATAAACCTAAGTTAGAATCGTCAATGAAAATGTAAAAGAGATAGACCAAATAACACCTAGGGCTGACAAGTAGGAGCGGACATCAAGAGCACGTTCAACACTCGATAACAAGCTATAAGGAGAACCCAATAAAAGTTTGTTAGAAATGATTGGTTGGTGGCCTTTGTTTTCAAAAGCGTTAAAAATCTAAGTAAGTAGGCGTACTTTTTTTACTCATTCAACATTTTCATAAGTGTGAATCATAGAAAAATAGAGGAATTGGTTCGACATGATGACATAGGATTTGAGCAAGATGGTACACCATGATTGCATCTCCCATAGCAAACTTAATATCCACAATGTGCAGTTGTATTTTAAGTCTTGATTGAACTAAAAGCGTGTAAACGTTCCGGTGGTAGAAAGTTGTCAATCTGAATTTCGATCCATGTCGATGATCAACTCATTGGTCACAAGACACAGCTAATACAAATATAATTAAAACATGGAAGACAAATTTTTGGCTTAGATGGATGGTTTAGGCGGAGTTTTGTTCTTTTAGATGGATGGTTCGTTCGTGGGGGATTCATTGTTCTTCTGAACAACATCGTCAGCACAAACTCCAGGTTGAAGTTAAGTGTGAGAATTTCTCCACATATGACTCACAGCTTGTCTTATCCACTTCGATCTTGTCGGGCCAAAAGACAGCAAATATCAGAATAAAAATTTAAGGATGGTCATTCGAATGTGCGGAATTATCGAGCGGACCAATGACACACAAAACCCGCACGAGCAGTCTACAACACTTAAATGGATCCCAAAGTTATCATTCATTATTCTTTTCGGGACATAACATAAATAAACGGAAACGTTTAATTGATCAACTGCAGTAAATTTTTAGCACAATGGTTGCACGAAGATTTTGGGGGTGTAATACACTTATAGGTGAGCCAAGTAAAGTTTGCTTTTAAATATAATTTTTTAGCTGTTTTTGTTTGAACCCACTTCGGTGATTTAACAATTTGGCGATAATGTAATTTATGGACAAGCCTATCAGAAGCTTTTGAGGGATTTCAAGGTCATGGCGTCTATTTCAGCACCTAATGCTCATGTACGATTGGTTCATAGAGAATTTTAGAGTAGACTTGACAATGAAGCGGCTACAACAAATGAAACTACTAAGAAGTTGTTGTATTTGTACTTACGAGTATTAAATGACTTGTAGACCCTGTGCAGACTACCATGATCTTGTCCTTCGATGTAATATATGTTGAAGGAAGAAGTTTGCTAGAATAGGAATCCTTATCGCTCTATCCAGATTGAGATTAAGTAATATTATAATAATTGCCACCAACTGTATAATAAGAGCGCCAGTAACATTGGCTACAATAATCACAGATATTACTGAAGCTTCGGTTGTGCAGTAGTATGAGTATTGTAGGGACATATCCATAATAAAAATGATAAACTTACACAACCGGAGTACACACAAACAATAACGAAGCTATGTAGTCGAGGCTGAGAGGGTTTTTATGACCTCATCATGGCTCCAGAGACAAACTATCATGGAGCCATATGGATGAAACCCTCTACCATATGCTCTATGATTTTGGAACCTTTGAACCTTTTTATAACATTGACAAGTTTTTGGACCATGTGAAAGAAGTGTATCCACTGTAATTATTTGGTTTTGAATAATATATTTTTACTCTGTGCTGACTGTTTACTGATTGGCCAACATTTCTCGAGGTCACTTAATATTCGTTCAAAGGTCGTTCATAAATTATAGTCTCGCCCATAACACTCATAAAATACGATCCAAACAACAAGAAAACTCAATTTCAATTCAGGTACTAAACATTTAATTATAGAAGGGGTTTTGTGGAGATTTAGTACTTATCATTGTTGAAAGCGTGAGTCAATTGAAGCTAGACCACCATCGAAAACCTGGAAACACTGGACGGCCGTTTCGTCCTATTATGGGACTCCTCAGCAGTGCGCATCCACGAACCTGCTCTCGCGAGCGGGATTCGAACCCAGGACCTACCAGTCTCGAGCCGAAGCCCTTAACAGATAGACCACTGAGCTGGCATCCAACGGTGTTAATGTCTAACTTCAACTGTTTCCAGGTTTTCCATGGTGGTCTAGCTTCAATTGACTCACGCTTTCAACAATGATAAATACTAAATCTCCACAAAACCCCTTCTATAATTAATATAATCATATGCTCACTAGTGACTTCGAGAAGTATATCTAGGAGCTCTAGTGAGAAGCAGTGACCAGTGGAGTTCAAAACCACGTCTGTTGTGAGATAGGAACTCACTGAAGACAATTGGTGAATGGTTGCTCAACTTCGTGGATCAGTTGAAGTTAGACATTAACACCGTTGGATGCCAGCTCAGTGGTCTATCTGTTAAGGGCTTCGGCTCGAGACCGGTAGGTCCTGGGTTCGAATTTCGCGAGTGCGGGATCGTGGGTGCGCACTGCTGAGGAGTCCCATAATAGGACGAAACGGCCGTCCAGTGTTTCCAGGCTTTCCATGGTGGTCTAGCTTCAATTGACTCACGCTTTCAACAATGATAAATACTAAACATTTGTTAATAGATTCAGAGTGATCAACCCAAACA